ATAGCGGTCCGCGTTGAGTGAGTTATTGTGAAATATTTACAATTTGTGAGGAGCAATGTCTTTGTCTGAAAATGATACGAATGAAGTGACAAAACCCATTATCTAAAGCTTGGGATTATTATTAATACAAATGTCGAACAAATACAAAGAAAATTCCATCGATCCGACTAGACTCGACCCAGTATCTGTTGCTTCACCGTGGCTAGAATAATAATAACAAACTGGTGGAGTATTTTCACAAAAATATATGAATGTCACGGTAATAAAACCATCATTATATTCATTAAAAATAAATATTAAAACTTTGGATGTTTTAAGTTGTTTTACTTCATACTGTTTTAAACGGTAGTGGCCCAGGTGGTGGACTGACAATCGCGAAACAAGACAGCGTAGTCGGATATTTAGGTACCAATTTGTTACACCAGATGTCGCGACGAGTACCAAATGGCTACTTTAGTGTTTGTAACAAATTCATTTTACATTGACGAGCTGCAATTTATGAAATCTACTCTAATTTCTAGTGATAACAAACAGATCAACTAAGCTGGAAAGGTAGGGAATTTAAGAAGAGTGGGAATATATAAATATTGTCACCATTATCCTAAAAAATCGTCATAATAAAATATATTCAAGCATCATTTCCTATCTTGATCAAAATCTGCGATGAATATGGCCAGGAAATTGGCTTCATTCATATTTCCACGTCTCTGGTTCAGTGAAGCTGATTAGTGGGCTGTGGTTCCGGTTGCAGAGGGTTCGATGCATTATGGTCCATTTTCTAAAGTACCTAGAAATGTGACAAGCGAAATTATATACATAGGCAATTACTTTTGGAATTATTAATAAGTAAATATGTATGTAGGTACATAGAATTTTGTGCGAACCCTACTTATTTGAATTGACAAAACTACTCTCTGAAAAAACAAATCTAAATTACAATGTCTCGTGAGTCTCCGTCCGCATGTCCATTCGATTCCGTTAATTTCGTAATCCACATTTAATAAATTCTTTTTTAAACATAGAAAATGGAATTTACGAAGTTCCAAACGGTGCAAGCTAAAAGCTTCTGCTGAAACTGCGTTCATTCACAGTTTTATTTCAAGCTCGAAAATAATTGTGTGTAGTGCTGGATGCAACATTTTATTCTTCAGGAGAGTGACAAAATTATATAGACTCGAGGTTCCATGTTTTGAATGTACATGCCTAAGGTCTACTTATTTTGGTAGTTTTATATTTCTATTCAAGCTCTGGTCCCCTCTTCGCGGAATTTCGCTTCCGATTTCCATTTTCAATTTCATCCATACGGCTGTCACGTACAAACTGTACAAATGTGTATTAAGTGCCCATAAAGAAATGGAAATTATTTACTAAACTAACGATCTTCTTATGTGAATTACTAACTGTGCTTACTACTTTTGCTGTGCTCATATAGCACTCTCTAACACTTTCTAAATTCAATAAAACCAAATTAAACGGCTGTTCCATAGCGTCCAGTATTTATGGAGATCTGACGTTGTTTACGCGTTTTAACAGAGGTCTTTTACTGGTAAACCCTTCGTCAAAAAGGTACCTATTTAAAAAACCGTTTCCCTTTATAAACATCGCGGCAAGTACACTGTCGGATAATCGGGTACGTTTTAAAGCTGGCTTAGTACTTCTCCCTTCCCCCCTCGAGTACCCCGCTCCCCAGTCGGAGGGTAGATGGTACTTCACGTGCGTTTTGACGCGATTATCATACCCCGACGGTATCTGAGCGCAATATTGTTTGCAGTTACGAGATGTGCGAAACAAAGAGGGTACTTTAGAATAGGTTTGTGGTATAAATTTGAAGATTAACAATAAAAATAGTTTGTATTGTGTTTGTGTGCAAAGAAACAGAACTAATATATCTATACGAATCCAGATTAACTTACATAGGTCGTCATAGTTTACAGGAAGGAAGAAAATATTATAAATATTTAATAAGCTGACTCAAATGAAATTTTCAGTTGGAATTCTTAATTTTCATTTCTGACTATGCGAATAGATGTAGAAAAAATTATAGGTGAGAAATAGTATATGTTATTGTGGAGAGCAGCCTATAAATCGTCTTGTGCATACGACTTCCGGGCGTATCCTCAAATCTATTTTTTTTTTTCGAACTTTATGTAGTCCTTGAATTGTCTATTATTTTTGATGAGCTCCTTTGCATGTATTTCATATCGAATTTATGTATATGAACTTAGCAGCAGTAACTTTTGTCATAATGTTAATAAAATCAGTGTTTCGTCATAAATTATTCCTTCCAGATTTTTTTTCATACCAAATGACAAGTCAGGCGCTTGCTGGTGCAATTACTATCAGTTGCAGGGCCACTCAGCTTTAAATAGCAAAAATCTGAGGAGCATTGCCACCGCACCCGTCATCCTGAGACATAAGTTGACAAGTCCTATGTGCCTGTAATTTCATCAGCACCCTTATGCTTCAATACCGGAACGCAGTAATGCTCACATTACTACTTGGCGGCAGAAATAGGTAACGTGGTAGTATCTTAGCTTGTGTTATAAAACAATCCAGCATCACGATTTAACTGCCTCAGTGGCCGAACGGTTAGCATGCTGGACTGCCACGCAGAGATCCCAGGCCCGATTCCCGGATCGGGAGAAATATTTGTATGGCCTACATTTATTTCTCTCGTGAGTTCGGGTGTAATTTGTGGTTGTCTATGTGTGTGTTCATGGCACTCGCGATACAGGGTTTTCCTAGTGCGGGGTTATGAGTGTGTGCGTTATTTATTTACTTAAGGCTCTTCTAGCAGTAAAAATCTATGTAAGCCAACTTGCTTTGCTTTAGTCTAAAGAAAACTTTGTCTAAGTAATCACATCCATTTTACTGTATTTTCCGACTTCGTGGCTGCTCTTTTAACCACCCCACGGGCGCGGTTTTTGAATCTGCTTCCTTTGTGACGGTTTTAATATGGAAATTAACGTTCGCCGCACCTCGCCAATCATATTTTCACCTATAAAACCCAAGTCCCTATGTAATAGTAATAAGGTAGAGAATAAAAGAGGATTTCATGAGCAGCCGTTGTGGTTAATTTTTCGCTAAAATCTGTACGACTCGACGGGTGTCAGCGTAATTGAATTATTTATGTGCTTTTTAAAGAGACTGGTTTGCAATATTATAATAATTGATATTTTGCAATGTTTTATAAAAGTGATTTGCGGACACAATACTACGTAACAGTAGGGACCTCACCTAACTTAGTACCTACGTTATTAGACAAGGCGTATCATTATAGTTTGTTTAACAATAAAAAGATACGATAACTTAGCTTACAGAGCCTTCTTTATTTTGTAAGTTATATTATATTATATTATATTATAGTGTAAGTTAAGTATTTTTAAGGTAAACATCTATGATTTACGTAGGTACAATCTCAAATGCGTTTTATAATTGTCGAGGAAATTCAAAACTTACACAATTGTAATATCTCTCACTATTTTCGAAATGGTTACAGATTAAAATCGAGATACACTTTTTATCACACGAGGGTGGCAGACGAGGGAGGAAGCAGTCATGTTTGCCTACCGTCGCTTACGTAAGATTTCCCCGCTTCACGCTCGCATCAACTGTTTGAATAGAGATACGCCACTCCGAATTTATTGTGAACAAGCTTCCCTCCCCTTCTCTTCCTTCCCCTGTAGTCTCCCAGCCTCCCCTAGTTCCATTGTCACACAAATCCGATGTATCGCTTTCGCTTCAAACTCTGTCATATGGTAATGTGACATATAATTCCTGTTAGCGTACTTTATTAGTAGGTAAAGTAGGTGGCAGGGACATGTTAGATTTGATTGTCAGTAGTATAATTTTGAGAGAGTAGAGAGTATAGTTTGTGTCTACAGTCAAATTAATACATACTAAATTAATGTTGTCCACTGGACGTTCTATGACAATTTTGAAATACATATAGAAGTGATTCTAATTTGCGTTTTAGGTCAATAAAAAAAATAAAACATGTCTGTGGAACGGTAGCGGTAACGTTTTGAAATAAAATAAATAGAAATGTGTATTTTGCGACAGAACGGTCGGATAGAAAAAAGACTAACAGCTGCACCATGTCAGTGTGTTTGAACGAGGATCGAGCTATCGGAATGTATCTTCGTCATTCGTACGCAATAAAACTGCGGTGAGCTGAAAAATCGATGTCGACAGACGAACCTACACTTTGATAGATGTGTGGTTGTATATCTAGGCTTTGGTCTAATTTGTCTGCTGGGATTCGTTAGTACAGGAAACAAACGAGACAAAAAGAAATGAAAAATATTAGGTATCCCGTTTGTAAATACTATACTAAATAGTAAGATAACGTGATGATAACCGGCACATGTATCGAAATCAAGTAGAATCTTTAAAAAAACGTTTCTTCTAATGTAAATGTTTGTATAGGGCACTACCTATTAATTTATATATCTACAGGTAGTACAAATCAGTACAAATTCATTAATCCATGTATATTTAATTAGTACTTCTAAATTTAGTCTCAATTAACATAATTAATTAAAACGAGTATTGCTACGAGGTTTGTCAACTACGTCGGCTTACATTTACAAGATACGATCAATGTTATTGGTAACTCGTATTGTTACCCCGATTTGTACTCATATATGGATTTTTCTTAACTTACTGATAAATTTTCACGAAAAATACGCTGTCGTAAATAGGTATAATACTAGCTTTGAAATGATACCGACTGGATACAACATCATGCATATCTGCTATCCTACATTTTTGTGCAGGACAACGCGATCTACTATTTCAGTGCGAATTTGTCGCCTAGAGAATACGATGGTTAGGTATGTTAAGGACGGTAGATATATCTCAAAGTGTAAATGCTCTTCAACCACCCCAATTGCGACGTGCACTCGTCGCTCGCATCCCATTCATATTTACACTTCAGTCGCGATTCGCCTAGCACAGACACTATTCCACTCATAATAACAATGAAACTTTTGTTCCAGATGAGCTCAATGCCTGAGGAGAAACCTCCTTCGGACCCTCACGCAAAGCTTCGAGAGATGCGCAATACCGACTTAGTATCAAGATTGTTAGCAGCAACTCCGCCGTATCTCTATAGTGCTCTACCACTTCAACCACACGCCTTCTTCTTCAGCGAGATGTTAAGGTCATTCGTCAACGCGAGACATGGTTGCCGACCACCCCATTTCCATCGTCGCTTCAAACGTCGCTCACACAAATATTTCGCTGAAAATGAAAATGATTGGCGACGTGAGTACACAAAGGATGAAGAAAAAAAAGACACAGATGTTCGTCCCGAAGTACCTCTGGAATTGACAGTAGATAAACAGCCCCGAGTTCGTGATCCATCGCCTAGGCGACTATCGCCGAAACCAGAACCAGCAAAACCGAGTGACAGCCCTGGTCCACCTGGCAGACAATCAACTTACGTCGACGTTGGTACCGAGGAATTGCCAAAACCTTCTCCATGTGCTCGGAATCCAGCTGATAATCCTGTACCAACATCAAACCTGATCCTTCCTCCACCGCCTCCAATGTGGTATCCACCTTTGTACAATCCACAATTCGGTGTGGACCCCTTAAACTTCTTTATCGACCTCCGCGTATCGGGACATATTTATGACAGGAAACGGGCGTTAGCCGAAGGGATTGACACAAATGTAAATCAGGACGTCAGGCAAGAAGATACCAGCTTAGACAAACGTTTGAGCAGGGATTTTGCGCAGAGACCTCGACACCTTTCGGCGTTCGCCGTACCGGTACGTTCGACCATTAACGTCGAAGGTCCAGAAAAATACTTCGAGAATGGACCGAAATCGGGAAAAGTGAACGGCACTTCGTACATTATGAGGAACTTGAAACGTGTCTATGAGCAGTTACACTCTGACGAAGAACGGAAGAAGAGAGAAAAGAGTGAAACAAAAGCTGAATCTTCCGATATTGATGATGACATTATTGATTAAACACTTTTAAGTCCAATCAAGTTCTATTTAATTGTTATCAAACGTTGATCTATGTAACTTAAAATGTCAAAAACCTGCGCTGCGGATGCGTCATCCGTATTTATGAATTCAATATGTATTTACATTCTGTATTATGAAATATAAGATGTTTTGTTAATTATTACGCTTAGAACCATAATCATAATCGGATCTCTACCTTTCTAGACGTTACGTTTTAAACATATTGTAATTGATGATTGTGATGATAATGTATGAAAAGAAAAATGATGTTACCATAAATAAAATAATTAACAATGTAGTAGCTAATATAATGTACCTATGTACTTTTAAAATGTAAACTAAACCTAAGGTTGTGTAAATATTGACAAAATAAATTATCTAACATAAAATATAATCCTGTATGTAAAAACAAAAATATACTACTCTGCCCTTTTTAAGAATAAAACAAAATAAAAATCCATTTTATCTTGATCTATAGAGTTTTTTTTATAATACCAAGTTTTATTGATGCTTTTTTTGGACTCCTGAAACTACCCTTATTACCAAGTTATTACCTGTTCGAATTCAGAACCTGTAAAAAAAAAATTGAAAACCCCAGGGTTTGAAGACAATTTTTACTGCATGTTTCATCTTTTACTGCAAGATGCTTGAGTCCACACAAAAGACGTGTGCCGATTGTAAAATCGTTGGCGACAGCGGCCACAAATAGTGCTACAAATTAGAAAGATATAGGAGTGCTTCGACGTGATAGTGATCGGCATGAAATCGTGGTGTATATTTTTGGAATGTTTAAAAAATCACTAAAACATTGTTTAAATCAACTGTTAGATTAATTTTCAACATTTTTTACACATTAATTTGTACATGCTTTAGGAGATACATAAGTAGATACTGCTGTGAACCTAAAGAATTCTTTGTAAAAAAACAACCACATAAAAATAAACGCTCTAAAAGTATTGTAAGTCGTTGGCTCTAAACATAAATTTAAGAATGGCAAAGACTAAGGAATTATAGTATTGAAATATAGTAAATAATCAACAAAGAAATCGTTACTTCAATGGCAATCAGTGGCATGAAAAAATCGTCGGCGGCGCCGCCGTGCATTAGTCCACTCCAACAGAGTCGTTTGTTTAAGACGATCGATGATAAAACTGAAATGTTTGATATTCGTTCGTTTCCAAGCTTTACTTTGAGGTAAATAAATTAGTTAGTCTTGTGCCATTATAAAAAAAACTTAAAAGATACCATTTTGACAAATAAAATGTTGCATTTTGTAAAAGAAATATTTCTACTACAATGGTTCACTTAAAATAGAACATAATAATAATATTCCGACTGTTCTAGTACTTCTAATTCAGAAATGCAAAGTTTTAGAAATTCCAAAACAAATATTTTTGATGTTATGAAAGAAACAGTTTATTTTTGTTACTATCAACTCTTCGTGCTAATGCAATTACACCGTACAGTCTGGTGTTGTGTCACTAGTAATAATTTTCTGAATGTAAATACAATTATTTTTGCTGTATTTTTGTGTGTGTTTGAAATTTTAAATAACGAATGATATTTAAAATTTCAATAAAAAAGTTTCCATCTTTAAAGTCTTAGTGAACAAATTACTATAAAAAATAAAATCTACCATTATAGAAACATCTTTTTTACTGGCAACATCAGTCACCACGCGATTTTCGTGTATTTCGTTGATTTTCTCGAAGAAGTTATTTGGTTTTGAGGAAATATAATTAATTTAATTACAAGAATGTTCGGAAATCAACCTATACTTGTTCTGAGTAAGTTTTTGAGTCAAGATCTTAAATTTTTTGGGTTTAGAATGTAAAGTTTTTATTCATTACTCATCTGACTTGCAGGCCAAAACACAAAACGTGACTCCGGCCGGAAGGTTCAGATTGAGAATATCAACGCCGGGAAGGTAAGAAGTCGCTACAACTATCAAAAACAGGTAATTTTTGTTCTTTTCTCCTATTTCCAGTCATTAAACGTGGATTTCTTTACGTATTCTAGACTATAGCGGATGTAATTCGAACATGCCTCGGACCTCAGGCTATGTTGAAAATGCTGATGGATCCGATGGGTGGCATTGTGATGACGAACGACGGCAATGCCATCCTTCGCGAGATCACTGTGCAGCACCCCGCCGCCAAATCTATGATTGAAATCGCCAGAACGCAGGATGAAGAGGTTAGGATGGCATTTTTTATCAACATACGTGAAATTTGCTAATCATAGTGTTTTTATTGTATTCTGAAACCAATGACTAATAAAACAATCCAAAATAGACACAACATATTGTTAAATACAACAAAAAATATTACTACAGGTTGGCGATGGCACCACATCAGTAATAGTTCTAGCAGGTGAGATGCTGGCCACAGCGGAGCCATTCCTGGCTCAGAACTTACACCCAACTGTGATCATCAGAGAGTATAGACAGGCTCTGGAAGATGCCATCAAACTGCTGCAGGACAAGATTTCAGTGCCCATTGATTTGAATGATAGAGATAAGTTGAAGGATGTGGTGAGTACTTCTTCTTTTGCTTGTATAGTGCTCAGGTATATTAAGTAGATATCGTCTGGGATAGTGCAAATCCTCATAAGTAGTATTGGTAAAAAGCATGTATCTACACTTAACCAAGGTTTTACAGGAGAGGGATTTAATGTTATTACTTTGTTATTTTAACAGCTACAACTTAAAATTTTGAGCAGTAAGCATTTAGTTATATTGTCTACGGACCGATAACAATGGATTCCTATAAATGATGTAAATTGTTTATCACAATATTTATGCAGATATGATTTTGTTTCAATTATTGAAAAGGACGCTTATAATCTAATGTTAGTTGTTCATAATCACACAATCCCTGACGATATAGTACTGTGCCACCCAATGTGTATTTTATTGAACTTAAATAATGCACTTAAACAAACTAAGAGCTATTTAAATTAATGTTTATTACTTCAAGTACAGGGGCATCATAAATGTATGATTTGAATTGATAGATTTTGTTAATTTAAATGTTCCTATGTGTTTAATTGAAAGTCAATTTAATATTACGCTTTGATAGCATTGACTTACAATTATATGGACGTCGGGTCCGCGCTAAAAAGTGTCCGCACTTGTAAGGCGCTAACATCGTATCAGAGCGCGACACTCCGCTTTAGTCTTCATTTGTTCTACGGACAGCGCGATACTGCGATGACATAATAATTTAAATTTCGAATAGGTTGACTTGGGACATTTTTTTCGTGGTTTTTGTATTAGACCCGTCGTCGTCCATTTATTTCTAAGTCAATGTTTGATAGTAAAGCTTTGGCATTTCAGAACATTGTACAATAAAATGGGTAATAGGTGTTATAAGAATAGATGACTGATAACTGACTTTATCAATATTTAGGTAAAACACTTTATTTAGACATTAGTACACTTAAATGTGACACTACTGTTGATGTGTTTTCTTGTACTACATTTCTACATCAACATACTATCCCTTCTCATTTTACATATTAATGTGTAGTAATATATCTCCATAGCAGTAATCACAGCGTAATTGGTGGCCTTGGTTATGACTGAATTATTGACGGAGGTTATTGATTTCAAATACGAGCTTTTTATTAGGAACAAACCATATTGCTTTAAATGAAAGAAGTAAATGGGTTAATAAAGTAACCAGTGAACAAAATTCTAGTATTTGTTGATGATGAACAAAATTCCTCAAGGTCCACAAAATACATTAGGTCAGCATAGTCCACTGTAGTCTATGTGTGGATTGTAGCTTTGTTAAGATGACTTACGACTGGTAGTAAGGAATGTATTAGCTCATAATGGAAGGTGTTGACTGCAATTCAAGATTTGTATCACTAGATAGGATTTCAAGAAAATAATTTAGCAATCGAAAAATAAATCTTGTATAAAAAATTACGTCATCAATTGAATAGTCTGGAATGGGAAAGATTTTAGCGTTAAGTGTTGTCTCTCGCCACCATTACAGGTTTCGAGAGAACTAAATAACACCCTGAATAAAGAAATGGAACTACAGTGGGGCTAGCACCATAGGGCGCGAATTACGCTACTCCCGCATAGAAATTTCGTTTTTTATGTCGCTCTCACGCTAGTCGTGCACTGTCGTGCTAGCCCTACACGAATTTCAGTATTAATTGATGAAAGTAGACCAGAAATAATAAAAAAATAATAATAACACATACAATCATCGCCCTGCAGGGAAATTCTGCATAGCAGGTGCCATGGACTTACATAGACAACCACAAAATACACCCAACTCATGTGAGAAATAAATGTAGTCCATACAAATATTTCTCCTAGCCCAGGAACCTCTGCATGGCAGACTAGCATGGTAACAGTTTGACTATGGAGGCATGTATGTGTGTTGAATGTATAATGTAGAAGATTGTTATTTATTTTAGAGTTGAACAGAATAATCTGTTATTATTGCAAGAGAGAGAGAGCAGCATCAAGGGTATTGCTATTTTTTAATTGCAGAGATCATAAATCTATAACAACTACACAATCTATAACAACTACAGAGTAATTTTACGAAAATACTCACTTTTTCTTTTGTGTTCCAGATTCGCTCCTGTGTAGGTACCAAGTACATTGGCCGTTGGGCAGATCTGGCCGTAGACATTTCTCTGGATGCAGTCAACACTGTCACTATCAACGATAATGGCAGGGTTGAAGTTGACATTAAAAAGTAAGTTATTAAAATATACAACTGATCATTAGACCTTATTGTTGCTGCAAACATTGAAAATATGTAATACAACACCTGTGGTAACATGACTTTTGCAGGGTACAAGAAAAAAAGCGCTTAAGTGATGATTTAAGGAATAAAAAGAGTTGCAACAATAAAGATATAGCAGAGTTAAATCAGATGCGAAATCGAAGTGTTTTATTGTGTATTCTTTGTACCTTAACACTTTTTTTTTGAAGTTTGTTATTAAATGATACCAGATATACCATATTATAAGGTTAATTTTAGTTGATTAATTTATCTCGTTTAAAATAGAATTTGAATATTTATTTCTGATTGCTATTTTTCTAAAACGAATGACGAATTTGTTCCTGTAATAAGTAATAGCGCATAATGCTGTAACAACTAGCGACTGTAGCCACCTATATACCCATTACAGGGATTCCAGTTGATAAGTTAGACTTAAGAACCACTGTGAATTATTTTTGGTTTGGATAATAAATGAAAAGAAAAAGTTATTGATATTTCAAATCTGTTTTCTACAAAATTCCAGCTACGCAAAAGTAGAAAAAATCCCCGGTGGTTCCATTGAGGAGTCACGCGTATTAAGCGGCGTGATGATCAACAAGGATGTGACGCATCCGAAGATGCGCCGCTACATCGAAAACCCGCGTATAATACTTCTTGACTGTCCGCTTGAGTACAAGAAGGGAGAAAGTCAGACCAATGTTGAGATTTTGGGAGAGCAGGTACCTATTGTTTAAATAAATCAAACATTAGTTGTTTGTACCCAACACAAGGACACATACATACAGATACATGTTATCATTTTATTTTGGGAAATTGTTTTCCATTTCATCTCGGCGTATTGGGGTGCCTTTTTATTTTTTTCATTTCTTGTCTTATGCATATGATCTAAATACTTGCTGGGAAATTTTCTTCCAAAACAAAACATTTAAAAACTCACTACACAAGCAAGATATTATATAATTAGGTAGGTATGGTATCAGGTCATGACAAATAATATTTTTATGTATAGGACTTCACAAAAATGCTGCAACTCGAAGAAGAGCACGTACAACGACAGTGCGCTGAAATCATCGCCCTTAAACCCGATGTAGTGTTCACTGAGAAAGGAGTCTCCGATCTCGCTCAACACTACCTCGTCAAGGCCGGCATCACCGCCATCCGCAGGTATCTCAATTCATTTATTTAATGTCAATAAGTACAATTCTATTATGTCAAATTAAAATTCATAAATTATTGACCTAAGTTAAACTTCTTTATTTATTAGTGCCTTATTCTGTGTCTTTCACAATTCCGCCAATGTCACGTAGGTAGCCTTTACACTGGAGGAGTGGATTTATTTTCAAATATAATTTTGACCCTTACTGCTATATGTGAGACTCGAAGCGGGTTTATCTAAAACAAAGCACATAGCTGCAACATCACAGGATAACACAAAGCACAACCTAATAAATCAGGATTGTTAGTAAATTTTTTAGGTAAATTAATGGATTAATCCAAGCAGTGTAGCTATAGACAGGGGTTATAAAAGAAATTAAAAATAAATAAACAATTACATAAAATAAAGAAAAAGGAAAAAGCAAAAAAGGTTAACATTTTACAATTTTAATTGGTTTATTGCCAAAAATATTTTTTGTGTATTAAAAGGGGAGGGCTTAGACGTCTCGAGGATGCATTTTATGTTAGTTGGACGAGGGACATCTTGAAGGAGTAGATCGTAGAGAGAAACGCTTAGCTTAGGGCAGTTAAAAAGAACATGGTCTGTGGTGCTATCCTCAACATCACACTCACAGAGAATGGTACCTTTTATCCTGATTTTGGCAGGTGGACAGGTGTACTTGCATGCCCAAGTCTTAGGCGACTGACCTATGTTAATTCCTTAGATAGTCTAAATTAATTCCCATCATTTCCACTTTTGACAAGTATGTTTGTCAAAGTTGCAATCTAATGCATTGGTAGACAGATTTTGACCTTATCTACATAGTTACTTTGCGACCGCGGAACACTCTTTTAAGTCCTCGTAATAATGGTACCTATTCCTTTCCGTGAACCAGAACGTAAGCGTAAGAGCTTATTGCGTTAAAAAATAGCACGATTACTGACTTATGCTTTGTGAATGGACTGACCTGAAGGTTAAAAGTACAATAAAATGTTTCGAATGAAACACTTAAATGATCACCAATTTTATCGGCATTTCTTCAGCATCGCATTATTCCAGCACCGAAGGCAGTTGTTCTGTAGTGTAGTCATATTGTGACAGAAAATAAAGATTTACTAAACTCTAGTTCTTTGTTTCCAGACTACGTAAAACAGACAACAATCGGTTGGCGCGCGCTTGTGGTGCGACTATAGTGAATCGCACAGAAGAGCTCAAAGAGAGCGACGTGGGTACAGCCGCCGGTCGCTTCGAGATTAAAAAGATCGGTGACGAATACTTCACTTTTGTTACCGAGTGCAAGAACCCTAAGGTACTATTATTTGTGATTTCTGCTTCAATACTCTTAAAGCGCAATATCGGGCAATTAAAATTTAAATATAATTAAAAATGATACCACAGATTCAATCTCATACAAAAAAATGTCGCACTTGTAATTCTACTTGTTCGGACGCTTATTTTGATTCTTAACGCTGGTCATTAGACGGTACAGAGTAAACGCGATGCTATTGTAATAAATATTCGAAAAGGCCAACAGATGGCAGTTGTAACATTTTTGTCGAGATTGTTCTTCTCTCTACGATTATTGTTCAGGCGTTCATTATAATGTACAATAATATATAATACAATCGCAAAGAAGCTGAATCTGTGCTTTTGATATTTTAACATAAAAAATCATGCTAAAACATGACTTTGTTACAAGTACAATTTCAAAAAAAAAATTTTCTTTATTTTTGTGTTGCTATCTGTACTTTTAAACATGTACTAAAATTAATTTGTATGAATTGATATCTCATGATTATACATTTATTTTTTAGTTATAAAGGTGTAATCATAGATAGTCTACTAAAATTATTTCTAGTAATTCTGTGTTTTGTACAGTCAAGAGCACGTCACGCATGACACTTTGTACTTTGGACCGTTTTTATCGTAAGCAGCATAGAGTTGGATTTAAATCATAAGTGTCAAGCTTGACGTGCTCTTGACCATGTAAAAGTCCACAAAATGCGGGTATGAGGTACAAACATTAATGGAGGTACGAGGTTTACGAATTTAGCTAACGAATTGTCATTTTACAGAACTTAACATTTTGTTTGCATCTATTTAAATAATTATTTCATAGATTTTATGATTGTTGTGCAGTCAGGTCTTCTTTATATGGATTCAATTAGTCCTAACAAATCCAAATGCAATAGATTAGGCATAATAATAAAATGTTAAATATTATATAGATTCCATATTTTTTGAAATTATTTATTTAGCTTTTTTTACCTTATCATATATAGCTTATGGGAATAATACCACACTTTGCCTAAAATTGAAGTATTATTTCATAATGTTTATATTTATCAATAAGTTTAATGGTACATGGTAATCAATAAAAAATAAAAACCAACGTCTAATATAACAGATAGGTACGAAGTAATCAGTCTTTGTTAGCAAACATCATAATACTAATTTTTATTTATTTATGATAATAAAGGACCATTTTCTTATTTGCTTCGGATTTTTTTAATAAAATTTTTAATGCTTTTTAGTATTTATTACTATGCTTCTTTACGGGTATCTTTTCAAATAATAAAGTGCTGTATATTTATTAATATTAAAATCAGACTTGCATACAATTTGCTCGTTGTGGATACTGAACATACCGAGTAGTACTTTATTTCCAGTGTTGTCATAAGTATGGCAATAAAATAACAATACTGCATTTTATTATTTTGATTAAACAAGTAATGTTCGTTAACCTTTTCAGGCGTGCACAATTTTACTACGCGGGGCCTCTAAAGATGTTTTGAATGAAATTGAAAGGAATCTTCAGGACGCCTTACACGTCGCAAAGAATTTGGTAAGTTGGTACTTGAAGTAAAGCTATCGGGGTGAATACTTCGTGAAAATTCGTTAGTAGCATTTGAATACTCATCCTTATTGCAGGGTTTGAAATGATTAAGACATTTATTTTCTTTGATAATTATCATCATAATAATTCAGTGCCTCCAGTGAAATAGGGAATAACTCAAAATTAATACTTTTCAGGAGAAGCAAAAAACCACACTTTTAGTGATTATTGGTTGTTCGCATTTATTATTAGTACTTTTTATGATTTCTAGCTTTAGGTATACATTTAGGCTTCCGTTTAATGGGTTTTGGTTGAACATTCAGTCATATTTTCTTTATATTTTTTAAGTCTTTTTCGCGTTGTGTCCTTGTTTATGAATGCTTAATGGTAATAACACAACTTATGTTAACAAATTTTAAGCCATAATTTGACTTATTCCTTTAACTGCGACTGTTCTATGGTTATAACAATACTTACCAATAATACTAACCACATTTATTAGACATAAAATCGTTAAAAGAATAAAACGACAAGTTTTCTGTTGCGAACTATTAACCAATAACAACACGGTAAAATCGCAGGTATGTCCTTTAAATTTTTTTTTTTTTAAATTAAATAGTTTATTAGTTTAAATAACAAATGGCTTACAAAATAAAGCCCGCCAAACTGCAATACAGTTTGTTGGCAGGGACACACTCTCATTAAATAATATGCCTCGACCCACTCATCATACACACACATCCGCATCCACTTATCGTGCACACACACCACACATACTCATAAATACTAAACTACATACTGTTTAACTATTTGAGACTTGTAGCAACAATGTCTCCTTCACTTTCTTTTTAAACATCAGCTTCGATACATTACTTTCATCTATACTCAAATCATTATAGATGACCGGTACAAGATATTCCTTTGTTCTTTGACCGTAATAATTTATAATCCTAGGTACAATATACTTTTTATCAATAACAGCTCTAGTGGTATAAGAATGTTCATAATATTTTTTAAAATCATCCCTTCTGTACTCCTCCACTGCTATTAATAACTTGACCCTTTCATGAACCGGCAGCACCCTACACTTCGAGAACAATTCCACATAGTTTTTGTGACATTTTTCCTTTACATCCTTGTCAACCAACAATTTTAAAAACCTTATTTGCAGTTGCTTAATTTGGTCTAAATAAGATGTAAATGTGCGCCCATAACTACTAAGACCGTACGAGATAATAGAATCGGCTAGCGCATAATACACCATGTATAAAGTAGCCTTATCTACAATAAACTTAAGCTGAAAACATCTATTTAAAGATAGTCTAAGTTTCGAACATACATTTTCGACATGCAACTTCCATGAAAAATTATCATCAACTGTTAACCCCAAATATTTAAATTTATCCACTAATTCTATTTTGTTACAATTACAACCTATTTTTTTCTTGTGAAGACAATCATAAGAATGACCCAACACTGTAGGACTGTCAGAATATACTTTGCTATGGGGAGAATATACATGCATACATTTTGTTTTGCTATGATTTATAATTATACCATTATCATGAGACCATTTAACAATACTATCGAAATCTTCCTGAATCTTATATTCGATGTTTTTTAAATTGTTGTCAGCGTACACTAAACAGGTGTCGTCCGCATACATGTAAACCTTACAATGCTTAACTACATTACACATAGAATTAACGTGCATGCTATACCCTATCGGTCCGTATACTGAACCAGTCGGCACACCATAGGTAATGTTAAATTTTTTACCAGTTTGCCCCTCTATAAGAGTCTGTAGCGTCCTGTCTTGTAAGTACGCTCGGAACCAATTGCTAAGCGGGCCACGAACACCACATTCGTTCATAGCTCGAAGCAGCTGACTATGTTCTAAAGTATCGAATGCCTTTTTGAAGTCTATGAAAATGACTATCAATTGCTTCCGGTCATTTAGGCTTTGATTAACATAATCAGTGAAACCTGTCAGTGCAGTTGCAGTACTACGGCCTCTTCGAAAACCATGCTGAGAATCTAAAATTACTTTATTAGACTCTAAAAAGTTTGTCACTTGATTCATAATAATTTTTTCGACTATTTTATTGATTACCGATAATATTGCTATTGGCCTATAATTTGCATAATCGAAATGACTACCCTGTTTATATAGCGGTCTAATATTAGCCGTCTTAAGGTCCTTAGGATAGACACCATTCTTTACAGAAAGATTTATAAATTTAGCCAATATTGGACTAATCTGTTCCTTTATTAACTTAATGTCCATAACCCTAATGCCGTCATAACCCGGCGCTTTTTCTTCACTTAAGTTATTTATTATTTTTAATACATCTTGTGCACTAACATTTACAAACCGCATAGAAACAGGGCATTCATTAACATAACGGGAGCGGTCCAAGAAAGTCTGAGTACAAACATGATTAAGTTTAATAGACACTACTTCCTCTGTAAAAGTTTTGGAAAAACTATTGGAAATATTTTCTATGGAATCTAATGTACCAAGATGTTTTAATATTACTTGATCCAAACATCTCTTCGTTCTACCTAACCACCCATTAATGCACGACCACACCTTTCTTAAATCATTTCCACATTTTTTTAACTGATCTTGTTTAAATTTGTTTTTAGCATTATTTATACACTTGTTTACTTTATTCCTAAATCTAGTATACTCTAAACGATAGTTACAATTTTTAGGAGAAGACTTCCACTTCCTAAACAACTTATCTCTTCTACTCATCATTTGTTTTAATTCTAATGTTATCCATGGTTGTGTCTTCCTTTTATTTCCCATACTTTGACTAACTTTACAAGATTTATAAATACTATCAAAAACATACCATAGCTTACTGTATATTTCTAAAGGGCAATTAATATCCCTAAACTCAAACCAACACACATTTTTAAGTTGTTCATAAACGAGTTTATTACTCAGCACTGTTCGCACATTGTCTACTTTACAACCACCACACTTTACTACGTCTGACGCCACGCACATGCCTATTAGGCAGTGATCAGAAATTTTACACTCAAGTACAAAAGATGATAATGGGCGAGGCCGGCACCGTATCCAAACATGGTCTATGCAAGAGCGAACCACGCATCCTTTAAATATTTCTTCCCGCGTGTAATCTGTTATTCCGCATTGGAAACCCAAGCTGCTTAACATGTCTTTGTATTTTTTAACACCAGTTTTGCTCTCGTCTTTTAAATCCATGTTTGTATCTCCTAATAATATTGTTTCTGAACGAACATTAAGATTTTTCAATAATTTATGAAGCTCTTCTACAAAGCATAACCTGTTTGTTCTTGGAGGTCGGTAAACAGCCGTTATATGTATATCATGGCACTTGTCGCCGGATAATCTCCCGTGCAATAATTCCATAGTATTTCCGTCCATTACCGCAGCAGAGAAATTATATTCACTCTTGTAGTATACTAAAATTCCACCACCGGATTGGCTACTTCGTGCATGTATATATGTGTCGAATCCATGTATTGTAAATAAAGACAACTGTTCTTTGGTTATATCTATTTCTGATAATACAATAACATCTAAGTTTTTTTTACAGGTGTCAATAAGTACGAGCAGTTCATTGAAATGCTTTTTAAGTGATCTTATATTTAAGTGTAATATATTTAGACTATTCCTGTTGACCAATAGGTCTGCACTCCACTCATCTGCACTATAATATCTAGTGTAATTTATATCTGTTACGACATGTGACAGTAGATCGTTGAATTTTATATGATAAACAAATAACTACAACAAAATTTTATTGCCTAATTGTGGCTATACTAATTTACACATCAACCTCTTTTCTTTAAATTGTTTACATCTTGTTCCTTACGTATGACATTTATTTTTCTGTTCTGTTCACTATCATCCTTTCGGGCAAGTATTTTTCCATTCTGTACCCATATATACTTATATAATCCCTTTAACTCCATCTTTGTATACCACAAGAGTTGACGTGTAGATTTTGGTAGGTCTTCATTAAAATATATCGGTGTGTTATCCCCATCAGAGTAAATGTTAGTATTGAATACGCGCATCTTCTTTTTTGCAACTAGCCATTCATTACGTGCAGTGATAGAACTTAAGGTCACGATCACCGACCGCGGCCGCTTTTTGTTTTCTTTGTCATTTTTTTTTCTGCGCCCACCCGCATGGCATCGCAAATATTATTCGGGTTTAATTTTATTTTTTCTGCCAAAGTTACGACCACAGCTTTAATATTTTCACCATCCCTTGATTCTAAACCGACAATTTCAATGTTTTTCTCTCTACCTTTTGACTCCAAAAAAGCGATTCTTTCTTCAAGTGCCGAATTACACTTCTCTAAATAGACATTTTTTTGTTCTAAGGACACCATCTTTTGATCCGTTTTTTGCTGTGCTATCACAAGCTCATCATATTTTTGAGAATAGAAGTCAACTGACTCAACAAGGTCATCAATTGTCTTTTTCAAGGAAAAAAGTATTTCCAGTTTATTGTTAACTTGTAACAAGCAGAGCCTGCGGTGACGTGGTCTCCAAGTCCACTTTCAACATTGGAGACTGAGAGTCAAGTTTTCCACCCACTTTGACACAGTCTCGGCACAGATCGGCGTCCGACAATATTTTACCGTCGCTGGCACACTTCTTGTGATAATTACCACCACAACTCCCTTTGCATTGCACTTTATCGTTTCTAGGAATGTATTGCTTGCACTTTTTACAATTCACCATTTTTAAATATTACTTCTAATCGATAAAGAATCAATACGACAAGAGGTACGAATGCGCTCGCGCAGTGAATAAGTAGGTCAATAAATGACAGTAGTAACTAACGTCTGCACGCTGAGAGCTCGCGCGGCTAACTTATCTTAACTTGTCCAATCGTGTCCAGTGGAACAAACAAAATGCTCAGTTATACTTTTATGTACACTGTGGAATAACGCAATAGTCACTTTTAGTCCTACTTTTTTCCCAGTCATTATGGAATAATACGAAAAGGGTCTTTATGTAAAAATATATCTCTAGTTATTCGTTAAACTTGCATGTATTTTTTGAATTGGGAGCACTTATACCTTTGGACTCATAAAAATGCCCGATAACTAAAATTGTGCCTTTAAAAACAGTGAGTTATGCCCTTAGTGTAATAAGAAAAACGACATTAGGAGACTGCTAGAGAGATGTCCTATTGATATGTTATGTAATCGGACACGCTGAAGTCAATGGTGCAGTAAAAATAAAAGGGCATAACTGGTCTTATTCTGTTTTTCACTGGAAGCACTGAATTATCCGATAATTATCCATGCTGATTCATAGTTTTGTTTCTTTAATTTTTGACCAAAAATGAATTTTAATTCACTTTAATACTTACTATAATATTATGGAAAAAGACATCTGTAATTTATTAATTATTTTATTAATTATTTTATTAATTTGCAAATCACAAAATAATATTAATAATTTGTTTTAAATGTGTAATATAAATATTATAAATCACTCACAAAAAAAACTTTAATTCTTACTTATTATTAGACTGTTATCTATAAAAACAACGTAAAGCAATATTAGTATTATTATTAATACAAAGATCGAACACTCAGAAAAAATTCCTTCGATCCGGTCGGATTCGAACCGACGTCTTCTAGCTCACCGTGCCAGACGCTATACCAACTAAGCCATGGAACGAACAAGCGGACCTCACGAATTTTTTTATGTGCTTGCTTCGTATCTTTGTATTTTGGTTTTTTCGACGACTTTTTAGTCGTAGCGCCACCTATGAGAAATCTATGAAAGTTTTATCGCCCAGTTAGATATCTTTACAGTTACCAGCCCTGGCGAGAGATGTCGCTATTCACTGTATTTTAAATTTTTATTGAATTGATATTCAATTATTTTTGTGAAATTATTCCACTAGTTTGTTATAATTATTAATACAAAGATCGAACACTCAGAAAAAATTCCTTCGATCCGGCCGGATTCGAACCGACGTCTTTAGCTTACCGTGGCAGACGCTATACTAACTACGCCACGCAAGCCAGGAATAAAAATTTACAATATTTAATAAAATGTGTAAAAAATTTTTCTCTATTTTTGCTGTAAAAATATTTGCAATGAATTTTTTTATGAGTTTTAGCGTATTGCAACTAACTTTTTAATTACCTGTATCGACAATGACGTAGTAGGTCACTATAGTGTTTACTATTTCTTAAGGTCTTTCAAATCGATAACTGATTTTAGATACTGAACCCTCGCCTAGTGGCTGGCGGAGGTGCGGTGGAGATGGCGGTGTCGCAGGCTCTGGCCGCCAACGGCGCGCACAACACGCCCTACCGCGCAGTCGCGCAGGCCTTGGGTAAGTCAAAGATCGAACAAGCTGAATTTCATAGGGAATTTTAGGTCTGTATCGCTGGCCCAATGTTATGCGATATAATGCTAGTTGAGCACTTCACAAGTTTTAGAAGGGCTGGGAACCTTTCCACCATGGTGCTTTTGTTCACAGTTAGGCATTGTTGTTAATAAACATTCACAAATAATAATAATATTCCAGACAATCATACTAATTACCTGGGACCTTACCATGGACTCTTATTACAGTTCAGTATAGGTTTGTAATGACATAAAAGCGGGATGGTGGTATACGCTTTGTGTAGCGCTGTCTCACAACGATTCATTTTAGGTCCTAAACTGAATCGTAATAAGAGTTCATGGTAAGACCCTGAAACTAGTCGTAGTTTCCGAGTCGACGCGCATAATTGCGATTCACAATTGGCCGGTCGGAAACTTTTGACATTTCTAATCGTAACAATAGTTGATTTAAGTCACAAATTAGAAGGATACAGTAGGAATCAGGTTCATCTTCTCGCTCAGAAACCCATCTATTTTTGAGATCGGATCGATTCCGACTTGAATCAAAATCGGACGCAGAGTCAATTTACAAAAGTTTATTTCACAAATACGTACGTACGTACGTACGTACAGAAATACGTACCTGAGAAATCTCTCAGGTACTGTAATGACTAATCAGTCATCTCATTATGACTGAAATGTTATCAATATATATATACAGTGGTGGTCGTATAATTAGAAACACTACAAACGGTCCTTGACATTATGTAAGAAACTTCACCGCATTCGTTTTTATTTTGAAATTAAACAATAAATAGGACAACAATAGGTTCAACGATTTATTATTTATTAGAAAAACAATATAAATCCCCCTACACAAGTGCAGTTTCAATATTACATTACGGACAAACATTTAAATCAGTTTTAAGGTATAAACAATAATGGACAACTAATTAGAAACAACAACAAAACAGTGTAAAAAACAAAATTTTTTTAAATATTAGCAATTAGTATTTTTATTTACGAAATAGTTAGTATCCACAGCCTACCAATATTTATAATTAATATTTAGTGGCGTATCCCTTATTTTCAATAACAGCTTTGCAACGACGTGACATTGATTCAATCAATGCTTCAACAAATGCTTCATATAATTCGTTTTGACTGGTGTTATGTTTGTTTGAGACTTTCTTCTTAACAATATATCACAGATTTTCTATCGGGTATAAATCCGGACTATTTGCTGGCCAGTCTAAAACGGATATACGCTGTTCGCTAAGGAAACATTTGACGCTATTGGCCGTGTGTTTAGGATCATTGTCATGCTGAAAGTTCCAGGTTAAAGACAAATGATCGTCCGAGTAGGGAATCATTGTGTCCTCTAAGATATTTGTGTACTGCCATTGATCCATTGTACCTTCAATCTTCCGAACGGGACCAACCCCACATCCGGAAAAACACCCCCAAACTTTAATGTTTCCGCTACCGTGCTTGACTATGCTCCTTGTGTATTTATAATTAAAAGCACTGTTTACAGGACGTCTAACATAGCGTTTTCCATCTGAATTTACCATGTTTATTTTCGTTTCATCTGAAAATAATACTTTTTTCCAGTCTCGTACCGTCCAATTAACATATTTTTTTGCGAATAATAATCGCTTCTCTCGATGTTGCTTGGTAAGAAGCGGTACCTTTCGAGATGTTCTTCCAAACAATTTAGCTTCCACTAATGTTCGGCGTATCAGTCTTGATGAGACGTTTCTGGGGTCATCAGGCGAAAAAACTTCATTTTTAATCTGGGTTGAGCCTTTAAATGGGTCTTTTTTAGCAACACGAACGATTAGCTTATCTTCTCTGGGAGAGGTTTTTCTTGGCCGAGCCTTTCTAAGAACATTTTCAACAGTTCCATGTGTTTTATAGTGATCAATTGCATTAAAAACTTTCTTCACAGAACAATTTAAATGCTCAGCTATTCTTCTGTACGTCCACTTTTGATCTAAATGTAAATTAACAATTATTTGCCTAGTTGACGCGTCACAACTTTTATTTTTGCCCATTTTGAACAAAATTAAATTCAGAGTAAATTTTGAATTGCCGCCAAATTAATAGAAAACATCAAGAAAGAAATGTTATTCTTCAATCTCAAAAAAAGAACGAGCTATAGATGCTTTCTTCAAATGTTTCTAATTAGACGTCCAAGCGGCCAGGAACAGAAAATATACTCGTACATTGTGTAAGACTCATTTTATAATTAAAAGTAAGATATGTTTTATTTTTTACGCATTTAATGATTTTTTATTTGAGTGGCTACATTATTGCATGATTATTTATTATTAAATTTATATATTTTTCACGAACATTTGTACGTTGAAGTTAAACTTCCTTCAATCATAAGAAGTGTGTCTAATTAAACGACCACCATAGCATAGCTAGTTTTTTTAAAGTATAAATCGTTTGGGGAAAATGAAAACGACATGTGTCTATGCTTTATTTAGCAATTTTCAATGCGAGAAGATATCATCGTCCCCGAATCTGGTTTTTTGTATGTATACAATATGAACCATCGACAGCCGTCGATTTGGTGGATCGTAACCCGCATTGTACTGTCTTGAGTTATTACAAGTGATTTCTGTATGTTATATTTGTAATAATATAAATATAATTTTTATTAATGTGTAAGTAGTAGTAATCCGCCGAAGGCTCTCCTGTTGAATCCTTAATTAATATAAGCAAGCCAGTTGAAAAGATTATGATCCCCTGCAGAGATCATCCCCCGCACGCTGGCCCAGAACTGCGGCGCCAACACGATCCGCACGCTGACGGCGCTGCGCGCGCGACACGCTGTCTCCTGCGCCTGCACCGTCGGCATCGACGGCGACAACGGGGAGATCGTCGACATGGCCGTTAAGGGGATTTGGGAGCCACTCGCGGTCAAACTACAGGTACTGTTCGCAGCATACTAAAGTAAACAAACTGTCCCTTTTTGTAATATGATATGTCGAGTGTGTGCGTTATTATTATATTATTATTACTATAATTCGAATAAAACGTTTTCATGAATTGCATAACAATTGTGTTACAGGTGTACAAAACGGCAGTGGAGACAGCGATCCTCCTGCTCAGGATCGACGACATCGTATCGGGCTCCAAGAAGAAGGACCGCGAACCAGCTGCGCCCGCGCAGATGGCCCAGGGCATGCAGGAATAACACACGCCCACAAAGCTTAGTTAGCATATTCGGGGATGACATTCTAATTCATACTTAGACTCGCTAGTAATAAAATTTCAGATTCACTAAGCCGAGCCACACTATTTTGGCATAGACTTGATTATGGCGAAATATCTTGCTAGAAAAGAGAAGCGCTGAAACGCGGTTAAATCAAAGCCAGCCCTACCGAAGTAGAGCTCCAGTTAACATTTACTGAAGAATGTATTGTAAATATATTGAAGTGTCCAATACGATATCACTATTTTGACATTATTGACAGAAACACATAGTCAATTAGTCTGTGATAAAAGGAACAACGCTACTACACGGGTAAAATACGTGCCCGTTTGTTTTTTATTAGTTTCTAAACACTTATACCGTTTACATAGAATCTGAAATCCAAATAACTATTTGAAATATGACAAATTGGTCTGGAGCTCAATAACCAAACGCTATGGAGTACATAGTCTATACTGATATTTTATTATAGCCGGTAATGGTTGAAAAGATAAATTATAACAAAAACACCCACCTTAGCAAAACAATTCAGTTACACGGCACAAAAACAGTTATGTAACCTTGGTGAATATTTTCTTCTGAATATCGAGAACGACACGATTCCTTTTACAGAGGAGGCAGGTTATCATAGCATCAACCTTATCTTTTACGGTATTACTACATAACCGCGAGCCATCAATAATCACCAACTCTATTGTCTTGCTAAAACGCTATGTTATGACGTAGAAAAATGTCAGTTAGGCGTCGCCCTCTGATGACTTTGGAATGGGGCCCATTGACTATTTCATTTTTTTTCTTGGCTTTTGCTCAACACTTAACTATTTCTGCCGCCAAGCAGTAATGTCAGCATTATTGTGTTCCGATTTTGAAGGGTAAGGGTGCTGATGGTGAAATTACAGGCACATAGGACTTGTCAACTTATGTCTCAGGGTGACGGGCGCAGTGGCATTGCTCCTCAGTTCTTGAGTGGCACTGCAACTGTTATGGACAGGCGGGTAGCTTTATCATCAGGCGCACGGCTTGTTTGTTCCATCACTTGATATTATTAAAAAAAACTTTCTCAATTGAATGATCCCACGTTAGTATTCTGCCGCCTGAATTGAATCAATGGTTCACAGTTATTTTTGTATGGTTTCTGGTCCATTTAATACGTTATTTCAGCAATAATAAGTGCCTATGAAAACCTACATCGTTAGTCAATATCGTTTTCAAGAGTTTATGCGAAGTATCACGTATGTACTATTTTAATTACTAGGATCTTAATTTGTATAGAATAGAATGTTGTCCTTGAATATTATAATTAATAATAATTTTATTTTATTCGTTGAGTTTCGTGCCGTGATTTCGTGTTTCCATTAAAATTAGAAACGCTAGTCTTATTCGTTACGCTCTTGAATCACAAATATTTGTTTGACTTTGTTCTAAAATTGAAGTTACATTTACATTTTGAGCCTTAAGTTATTTTACGTAAAGATCGGCCAGATTATATAAGCTCCTAATATACATATGTTCAATATGAGAAAACACAGCACTTACTAACCCTGAAATTGTGAAAAAATACCAGTTATTTTAAATCGTCATAGTAAAAATTCACTAGGTCCTTGTAATGAACATAACGATGCTATAATTGCATTATAATAAATTAGGATCCCCATAGATATTTATTAGAACTAGTAGTCAACGTTATTGTGCAACATTGAATACCGATGAATTTAGGTTCTAAGTTTCTTACTTAATATCGCTTGAAACGCACCTTTTATGCTGTAACGATTGATAAAGGTACCCCATAAACGTGACCAAATACGTAGTAAAAACAGTCCAGTCTTCCCAAATTCGGTACGTTCTTGACATCTTTTCAATCCCTGTGGAATAGTGTGTTTTGTAGTGTATAGTGGTTATTGTCATTTCATCTTCGATATGGTTATATCGAAGATGAAATCTAACTATAACTCCGTATTGAGTAAAATGTAGTTTCATAAGTATGAAACTACATTTTACTTGATTCAATGTGCTGGCAACATTGAACGTTCAGGGAGTTTTAAAGTCGGGGCTAACACCTAAGGGCTTATTTTGATATCAACACTAACACATTTTTGTAATGTATCTTAATTTCCCTCCTTAGTAAAATTACATCGCGGCACGATCTCAAAACTAGCTTTCTCACAATGATAGTGCTAATAATGGATGCCTTACTCAATACAATGTTAGGTTCACGAGGGACACTCTTATTTCAATGTATTAATGTTTAGTTTATTTATAATTGTTCGCGGTTATACTGTCTCCAACCGCATGCATTTAAGTTCAAAATGCTATTTTATTATGGAACAATAATAGTATTAAAGTTTTTATCTACTACTTGTTTGTTTGATTTGTCTTATTGGTAAAAATGAAATTTTTAAAACTGCAGCATGGTGACAGTACATTTAACTTAGTATTTTTACTCATAGATAACATCCTAAATCTATGTTTTTACTTGCGTAAGTTTTTGAATTACGTCATTTGTCGATTTCATCAATTTTCATAAAAAATATCGGGGTTATGAATTGTATCTAGAGATTCGCGACCTCAAATTTCAAAAGCTAAATTTGAAAATGATTCAATGAACTTCACGTGCGCAGTGCTTCATCGTTAACCTATCTACATAATTATGTTATCCACGATAGTTATTATATTGCTTTTAAGGTTAAATACACTTGTCTGCAGCTGACATACCAGTATTGTGTATATAAATGTTAGTTACATCTGCCTACTAGCATGAAAGTATGCCAGGTTTGTGTATTTGGCCTTTAGTGAAATGATACGCAATAAAGCAATTGTGATCGCCGTCGGCAGTGGACCATTCGCGGACAGGAGACACGCACGCGAAAGCTCATTGTTGTCACAATTGCGAGTAAAGGGCTCACCGTTAGATGGACGCGTTTCCATTTACATTTGACTGAATTTATTTTTGTAGACTTTGCGTCACTCGTGTATAGACACGATTTAGACATTAAAGTATAGACTTTAATGTCTAAATCCGGACAGGCGACTTCAGAGCTGCGGGTAGACGGCTTAGAGCATGCAACCATGATCTAATGTACACGGATAAATGTACATAGTTATGCAAACTAGAACCAACCCACAAAATGTCACTATCGAGATAATTAGATTTTTGTGAAAACAGTGTGAAGAAATAAATAGGTAAGTTATTTGAGACAAACGTGACTTATGTGTATCATTCAGAATGATATAGGGAAACTATTATATTATATGGCAATAAACAGAAAACATTATGTATCTTTTTATTCAGTTAACGAGAACCATGTTCTAGTTTTCGTAATGAAAATGCTAAAGATCTACAGTACTTCAGTACATGTGACATGGATCCATTTATCATATTTAAAAAAATACATTATATGAAGTTAAGTACGATGGTTCTTTTTAGCTATTAAAAAGTTACTTATTTAGGGTTGGTACCCTGAAGGACTTTAATTTTCTCCGTTTTGGCTTGGTATATTGCCAGGATCTTTTGTGAGCGGGTAACGGACACGTCTGGTGTTCTACCTAAATACATAACTCAATTTCACTCGAGGTGTGGGTTGGTTCTTGTTTGCATAACTATGTCCAAATAAAAAAAATAGTACACTTTTTACATAAAATACCCACAGGATTGCGTATTAAGTGTCTTTCAATTTATCGTAATTTAGTGACGAAAAACATTTTTGGCTATGAGTAAAAACAAGTATGACGAAAGATGAGGATTTGGGGCTAGGGATACGTGTGCTACGTGTATCTATAGCAGTAGTAAAACAAAAAGGAACGTTTTGACTATCATTTACCATACACGATTATCTCCTAAAGTCCGTTTTAATCCATTTTAATGAAAATTTAAATAAGCAGGTTATTGTCCCGAATACAGATTGTTAATGATGGCCAATAAGTGCTGAGTATAAACTAATTAGTTAGATTTTATTAATTATTTTTAAATTTTTATTAAAATGGATTCAAACGAAATTTACAACAGTGGACACAATCCGCGATTATGTGGTCAAACAAAACGCTCACAGGGCGTGACGGGTGATCAAGTAATGGTCGGGCGTCGGGGCATTATGTTGCTGACTACCGCGGGAACAGGTGGTTTCTATCTTCCATGGGATTATGTGCAGGTAAGCTGTGTTACTGTTTTCCTACAGTAACTGCCATGTTCAGTTCTATAACGGATTATATAGTCTTGGTGACAATTCTAAGGACTTCGATTTATCAAAGCGACGTCACATGTTGCAAAGTGGTTTTGAAATATTGTTATTTATTTTGTACTATTTTGCTTTGCTCGCTGGATGTTACTAAAACCAGGACGACGGAATGCAACAAACGTAAACGGAGACGGGTGGTAGCGTAGCCTTGTGCATAAGATTACAGTTTTATTGTAATTGTCGATGTGACTGCTAACATGATTATGGAGTATTTGAAAAATTTTGGTTGAAGGTGGATGGTTGATGGTTTTTATTTTTCGTACTTTTTATTGTTGTTTTTATTTTAATTTTATATGTACTGGGAGTGGTAGTGGGGTAAATAGGTGTTCGATTTTATGTCAAAGTCCTTTAATTACAACTAGGGTGACATTTTATTAAGCTGAAATGTATAAAACAAGTAAACTCGAAAGTTTAATTTAATTTCTTGCTACGAAGAAGTTGCTTACCTTGCCATTTTTGTTAACTCGGAGTCACAGTTCATATTATAAATGTCAGCTTTAGTGTTCTTTACTTTAAGAGGTAATAGTAGGTACCCATTGCACTACTTCTCCTATCAGGACAAAATTAAATTGAAAGTTACAAAATATCACCCCAAGTAAAGTCGATGCCTTAATATACCTGACCCCTTGCCGACCTTTTGATTTCTGAGAGCCTTCAAGAGAAAAGTGTAAAAGAATTTTCTATCTCTAATAGTTCAAATTTATATTAATATAATATAATTTAAGATCAAATTGGTTTAAATAGTTTCTTAAAACGTCATTCACTAATGACGAAATAATGAAGTCATATTGAATTTTACGGCTCACAGGTTAAAGGTTAAGTTTGTTTACTACCTTTCTTCACACTGATTCACTCAGAACCAAATAGCCGGTTAGGGGTTCAGGTATCTTAGGGCATAGACTGTACATTGTTAAATAAACTTGACGACCTCCGTGGTTGCGTGTATGTACATCGGTTTTCATGGTGTCGCCATCTCTGGTTCCTGGGTTCGGTTATGTAGTAGCAGTAGAGCTCCTTGTGAAAGAGTTCGTCAAGGGAAGTACTGCCACCTCTTACTGCGTTCCGGTTTTGAAGGGTAAGTGTGCTGGTGAAATTACAGGCACATGGGTCTTGTCAACTTATGTCTCAGGGTGACAGGCGCAGTGGCAGTGCCCTTAAGATCTTTGCGTTTTAAAGTTCTGAGTGGTAAGTGCAACTATGCTAGACAGGCGTGTTACTTAACATCCTGTCACTTGTTGATATTATAAAAAAAAGATTCCCGGCCGTTTGAAATACGTCAAATCGTCGTTATTTTTGATTTTCATAACACAGCAGAAGTGCTTTAGTTACTTTAGGATCAGGGGCCTTACCATGTACTCTTATTACAGTTCAGTATAGGTTCGAAACGACAAAAAAGCGGGATGGTGATATACACTTTATGTAGCGCTGTCTCACAACGATTCATTTTAGGTCCTAAACTAAATCGTAATAAGAGTTCATGGTAAGGCTCCAGAGCAACGTATGCATCACATACGTGATCTAATATTTATTTATATTTATAATCGACGCAATTGTAACAAATCCCATTGTTATACCTATGCTGACCTGAAGCACGAATGGTAGTTTTAACCTGCAATTCTGGTTCTAGCAAATCGTAAATATGTCCGATTTGTAAAATTCGTATCGTTATCGTATTCGTATTTGTAATAGTCTCAATTCATTAATGCTACATTTGTGCGACAGTTGGTGACTGCCAAAGGCGCTGCGCTAGGATAAAGAGGCCTCAAAATCTCGGTGAAAGGATAAAAAGGTCTCAAAATGTCGGTGAAAACGACACATCGTAAGGCATTATTCAATAAACACAAATCCGTGTCATGCCCTACTGTTGGCAACAGGGTACTACAATTTCTTAAGTGCTAATTAATCAGAGATCTTTGTTATAAACCACTAATGTTGAAACAGTCAAGGTCCTCGGTCATGAGTCACTTTAATCCATCAGGTAAACAATAAGCAAAATTTTTAGATCATCGGATATCAGGTTGCGTAAAAACAAAGAGATTAGTCGTGTCGCCATTGTTATAGAATCTAGGTATTTTGCAGTACTAATTTGTTTTTATACTATTTATACTTGAGAAAACGGGCGTAAGTTGTCCCTGCTCATATCAAATGGATCATAAGCTGATATCTCTGTCAACAGTCGAAACACTGATCACTTAAAGATTTTAAATTTCGTTTGGCAACATTACATCAATTTCGTAAATTTATTTTCGCAGTGCATTTGTTTTTGAATAATGTCTTTTCTCTCTTACATATACCTAAAAGCTAGACTTTGGTGTAATAAGACCATATCTGTAAAACAGCAACTTTTCAGGAGAGAGGTTAAAATTCTACAAATAAAATAACATGGGTGATAATTTTTTTATGCTTTAATAATAGAGTAATAAAATTTCACATTTATACATTTGTTTCACGTCGTTCGCATAATTTTTATGACTTTATGTGATAAAAATATTTTTGATGCATTTTTTTATGATACCAAGGGACAAGATGAACAAATCTTGCGCCTGGGTTAGCGACACGCCTGTCCATAACAGTTGCTGTGCCTATGTTAAATATCTGAGGGACACTGCCACTGTCACCCTGAGACATAAGTTGACAAGTGTCTAATTCCACCAAAATGAATGATAACTTCTGCAAAGGTTATCCTTTGACCTCCTTCTTACGTGGTTCTACTTTTTTATTGACCTAGTCAAAGTAGTTCTTCCTTTTTAGTTAGTAATTCTTCTTTGAACATGCTTGCCTTCCACTTTTTCTTTTGGTTTTTAATAAAGTCATCATCGTATAAGATGGCTCGTTATACTTAGTCTTCAATTTTTATCTTTTTAAGATGTTTTAGTAGTCATTACCCGTCGTTGACGGTTGTTACTTTTGTAACTACCTCTTCGTTGATTTGTGTCAGTCTAGCTAATGCTCTTTTCTGTAATATACACAAGAAACGATATAGTTTTCGTGCATAGCTGTGGGACGAATGGATTGATGATGTTAATTGTAGATATTATATATTAATAATATATAGTAGCAGTGAGTTCGTTGTGAAAGAGTACGTCATGGGAAGTAACTGCCACCTTACCTATTTCTGCCAAGCAGCAATATGAGCATTACTGCGTTCCTTTGAAGGGCTGGTCTGTTGAAATGACAGGCACATGGGATTTGTTAACTTTATGTCGGTGACGGACGCAGTGGCAATGCTCTAAAGATCTTTGTGGTTAGCTTGGCATGTCACCAGGCGATGAAATTGTGCTAAATTTGTTTTTGAAGGCTTAACATCATGAAAAAATCGGTTAAAAAATTATGAAAACAAAAATTGACAAATTTTAGACGCTTACTAAAAACTTTTTAGTTTACTGTGGCAAAAAATAGGATTGATTGCGTTTTGGCTCTAATCGTATTTGTATGAAGGGAAAATATTATAAATTTCAAAGTTCATGCCTATGTATTAAAATGACAAAACGTTCAGTGTTCATTGTGCAGTAAATGACAGTGCTTGGTTGTAATGATAGCTATAATTTTCTACGTTATTTTAACGAGTTGTTTTCAAATTTCAAAATGCCTGTGTAATATTTTTTGTGCATCGTTCAAAGTATGATGTTGAATAGTTACATTTAACTACCTATTTCCTTTTATAATATAATGGGAATTAACTATATAGCTAAAGTTTGGCTAGTCTTTTGTCACGGACCCTATACCTATATAGGTATTGAAATACTCGCAGTTCAATAGACATCTCGCTAAAACATTAATAAATGTATTTATCGTCGCCTTAGAGTGAAAACCTCGCAAAATCGTTTTCACATAGTTCGTTTTTACTGACTTTTATTGAAGAAAAACTTAAAAACTTCTTGCTCAAATATATTATTAAAGTAATATAATTTAACTGGTTAAAATGCTAACATTGCGTTTACTATATTTTACACCACATTTTATCTTTGTCCTAAAAAATTACAAAGAAATCACATACGAGGTATTCACTCTACCGACGTTATTTGTTTGCTGAGCTGTCTAGTGGAAGCTCCTAGAACAAATGATAGGTCACACAGTTTGTGATAAAAATGTTTTTAAAAGAATGTACTTATTTTATTTTTAACCTTTCACCTTTCAACCAGAGGTTGTAAGTTTGAATCCGGGTTCGCTCTCTACTCCGTACCTCTGAGTTTTTCGGAATTTATATGCGAAATTTAATTTAATTTTTAATTTATCATGAGCTTTTCGGTGAAGGAAAACATCGTGATGAAATCTGCACGTCGAAGAAGGTTCACAACCCTCGGAAAACGTGTGACGTCACCAACCCGCATTGGGTCAGGCAACGTCTATGGCCTTATACTCTCATCTCAGAGGAGACCCGTGCCCAGCAGTGGGTCGTATACTGCCGTCCACTAACTAAAACGCGGCTAAGTGACAAGATAATTTTTTGAGATATCATAAAAACCATAACCCCGTTTTCAGAATATTGAAATTGTTTAATGATATTTCAGCTATGCATCGTTAGGGTACGTTGCGATAAGTCGAACACGTTAACTAATCTTTACTTATAGCGTGTCAACCCCATCTAGTGCGTCCGAAGCGTACTAGAAAGCCTCTTACCCGATATCGCGACGACCACCCATCCTCGAGGAAGCAGATTAGTCTTTGCGAATGTAGATGGCGCTTCTCGCCATCGACCCTGTTTTTGCCAAAATATCACTTTTTCATAACCAAATATGGTAATAACGAAAGGACTTCCGGTAACTTCCGCTTTATGCGTGATTACCGACCCACACCCCCGCGCGCTCCAGTTAAGGTCAGGCCACACAGACGCGGTATAGCGGGAAAAGCGTTTCGGGGGCGGACCTGCGGGAAGCGAATGCGTGCCGGGGCATGCCACACAGCAATCCCGA